GGTGTGGACGAGCTGAATGTCCGAACTGTCTGTTTGAATACTGGCAACAGCTTCGGATGCCCATGCCTACCCACAAACATGCCACAGAGGTCCTCTTCACAGTCCCCAAGTCCAGACGACTATGGAGGCGCACAGTACTACATAGAGCCATGACTATACTGGAACTCATGCCCATCATGTAACTGGATGCAAGCAGTAATCAGATTTTAAAAAACAGGTAAAAATACACCTTATGGCACACAGCGGGACTGTGAAGACACCCACCACGGTACATACACACATAACATCTAGAACACTTACTCTACACACCTAAGCGTACACATGGATGTTGTATGTAAATAGTGATAGTTTAGTAGTGCCTGAGGGAACACACTAAATGCCATTGGTATGGTTATGAAATATAAGTCATGTAATATTTAAATTGTATACAACGTCCCTTAATGTTGCAGGACCCCCAGGAAGAGTGGCTGCTGCAGCTAATGGGGATCCTTAATAATATAAAAAACACCATCCTTGAACTCAATAACCTCGCTACTTTCTTAGACAATGAGGTTTGGAAATCTATTTATAAAAAAATTATTGCACACATTGATTTAGCTTCTTTTAGACACACAAGTCTACAAAAAAACCACTTCATAAACTGCCCCAGGGGAAAGATTCAGCTGCTCCCACTATTTTTCTGCCCGAGGAGGTTTCACTGTCCAGTCCAGTTTAAGTATACCTGCTCCATATGTTTCAAACCCTTTCTGAGGGTCCTTGTTCCAGTTTAACCAGTATTTGTAGTGGAGGGTCCACTGTAACCCCGTTCTCTGCTGAGAGTAGATCAACAGTTCAGTAACGTACAGTACAGTAATCAACATACGTGCAGTATCAAAATTAAGTCGCTACAGTACAGTATAGTCCGTAGGCCACAGGACAGTGCAGTAGGGTCAACAGTCCAGTGCCGTAGGTCACAGAATAGTATAGTACATGACAGTAAGGTCAACAGTACAGTACGGTCAACAGTACAAGGAGGTCAACAGAACACGCAGTGTTCTACAATACAGTAGGTCAAGACATAACAGTGCATAGGTCTACAATAACAGTAGTCAGTCAAACAGTAGGTCACAGTACAGTAGGTCAACAGGACAGTAGGTCAACAGTATAGTACATGTAGGTTCCACAGTACAGTAGGTCCAACATACAGTAGGTCAACAGTACAGAGTCAAGGCAGAACAGTGCAGTGTCTACATACAGGAAGTCAACAAACAGATGCAGTAGTCCTACATACCGTAGGGGGTCCACAGACAGTGCCATAGGTCTACAATACAGTAGTCACCAGAAGCAGTGCAGTAGGTCAACACTATAGTATATGGTCAACATCCAGTAGGTCAACAGTACAGTAGGTCAACAGGACAGTAGGTCAACAGAACAGTGCAGTAGGTCTACAATACAGTAGGTCAACAGAACAGTGCAGTAGGTCTACAATACAGTAGGTCAACAGAACAGTGCAGTAGGTCTACAATACAGTAGGCCAACAGAACAGTGCAGTAGGTCAACAATATAGTATAGTGGTCAACAGTACAGTAGGTCAACATACGTAGGTCAACAGGACATAGGTCCAACAGGACGGTAGGTCACAGTCCAGTAGGTCAACAGGACAGTAAGGTCACAAGGACAGTAGGTCCAACAGTACAGTAGTCAACAGTATATTACCGTAGGAGGCACATGTACGTAGGCAACAGTGCAGTAGTCCAACAGTACAGTAGGTCCAACAGGACGTAGGTCACAGGACAGTAGGTCAACAGTATAGTACAGTAAGGTCAACCTTACAAGGGTCAACAGTACCGTAGGTCACAGTACAGTAAGGTCAACAGGACAGTAGGTTCCAACGTAGATTACTAGTATTGCAACAGTACAGTCGGCAACAGGACAGTAAGGTCAACAGGACAGTAAGGTCAACAGTAATAGTATAGTAGGTCAACAGTACAGTAGGTCACAGTACAGTAGGGTTCAACAGGACATTAGGTCAGCAGGACAGTTAGTTCAACAGGACATGAAGTAGGTCACAGTACAGTAGCAACGTGCAGTAGGTCCACAGTACATTAGGTCACAGGACAGTAAGGTCAACATGAACAGTAGGGTCAACAGTACATTACAGTAAGTAGATCAAGAGTACAGTAGGTCACAGTACAGTAGTCACAGACATAGGTCAACAGACATAGGTTCACGCACCGTATGTCAACAGTTACAGTAGGTAAACAGACAGTAGTCAACAGTACAGTAGTCAACAGTAACAGTACAGTACAGTAGGTTCAACATTAAACAGTATGTCAACAGGACAGTAGTCAACAGGACAGTATACAGTACTAGGTCAACCGTACAGTACAGTACAGTATCCACAGTACAGGAGGTCCCAACAGACATTAGGTCAACAGGACAGTAGGTCAACAGTACAGTAGTCACAGGACAAGAGGTCCACAGTACAGTAGGTTCCAACATGCAGTAGTTCATAGTACAGTAGTCACATACATACAGTACAGTAGATTCAGAGTACAGTGGTCAACAGGACAGTATGGTCAACAGTAAGTAGGTCCAACGCACGTATGTCAACAGTACTTAGGTCCACATACGTAGGTCAACATTACAGATAGGTCACAGCACAGTATGTCAAACATTCAGTCGGTCAACAGGACAGTAGTCAACAGCACAGTAGGTCAACAGTACAGTAATCAAAATCAATCAAATGTTATTGGTCACTACACATTTTGAGCAGATGTATTGCACAGGTGTCTGAAATCTTGTTTTTCTGCCCACACAGTGCATAATATCTAACAATTCACAACAATACACACAAATCTTTAAATAAGATAATGGAATTGTAAGAAATAATATTACAGTGAAGTCGGAGTTTACATACTCCTTAGGCCCAAATACCATTACTCAGTTTTTCACAATTCGCCTGACATTTATCTAGTAAAAATGCCTGTCTAGGCCTCGAGGGAACACCACTTTATTTTCAGAATGTAAATGTCAGAATACTAGTAGAGAGAATTAATTTATTCAGCTTTATTTCTTCACATCATCCTGCCCAGGGTCAGAAGTACTACACTCAATTGCCATCAATTAGTATTTGGTAGCATTGCCTTTAAATTGTTTACTGGGTCAACCTTTCAGTACCCGCCCAATCGTCCAACAATAATTGAATTTTGGCCCATTCCCCTGACAGAGTCTGGGTGACTGGTCAGTTTGTAGGCCTTCTTTCTTTGCATACACCTTTTTTTCAGTTCTCCCACACTTTTTCTATAGATTGAGGTCAGGGCTTTTTGGTGATTGCCTTTAAATTGTTTACGTGAAGTATGCTTGGGGTCCATTGTCCATTGGAGACGCATTTGCGACCAAGCTTTAACTTCCTGAACTGATGTCTTGAGAGGTTGCTTCAATATATTAACTAATGTTCCTTCCTCATGATGCCATCTATTTTGTGAAAGTGCACCAGCCTTCTTGCGGCGATCACCCCCAACAGCATATGCTGCCACCCCTGTGCTTCACGGTTTGGGATGGTAATTCTTCTGATTTGCCCATCTTTCCTATTTCCTCCAACATAACGATGGTCTTATGCCAAACGTTTCTATTTTTGTTTCATCAGACCAGAGGACATTTCTTCCAAAAAGTTACGATCTTGTCCCCATGCGCAGTTGCAAAAACGTGTCTGGCTTTTTTTATGGCGTTGTGGAGGCAGTGGCTTTCTTCCTTGCTGAGTGGCCGTATTCAGTTATGTCGATATAGGCTTGTTTTCCTGTGGATATCGATACTTTTGGTACCTGAAAGCATCGTCTTCACAAGGTCCTTTGCTGTTGTTCGAATTAAGTTGCACTTTTCGCACCAAAGTCCTTTCATCTCTGGAGACAGAACGCGTCCCTTTCCTGATCGGTTGATGCTGCGTGGTCCCCTGGTTTTCATACTTGCATACTACTGTTTGTACCGATGAACATTGTACCTTCAGCGCTTTGGCAATTGCTCTCCCCAGTGAACCAGACTTGTGGAGGTCTAACAATTTTTTATTCTGTGGTCTTGGCTGATTTTTTAAAATTTCCCATGATTCATGCAAAGCGGACTGATTTTGAAGGTAGGAGGCCTTGAAATACATCCACAGGTACACCTCCAATTGACTCAAATAATGTCCTTAGCCTATCAGAAGCTCTAACAGCCATGACCATCATTTTCATGGAATTTTCCAAGCTGTTTAAAGGCACAGTCACCGTAATGGTATGTAACTTCTGACCCACTTGATTGTGATACAGGGAATTATCAGGGAAATAATCTGTCTGTAAACAATTTTGTTTAAAAATTAACTTGTTCATGCACAAAGTAGAATGTCCTAACCGACTTGCCAAAACTAATAGTTTGTTAACAAGAATGTGTGGAGTGGTGGAAAAACAAGTTTTTTTGACTCACAACCTAAGTGTATGTACACGTACTTTCCATGCCGAGAGTGTTACTCCAGGATGAGAAGAGCGTTTAACCGTCCGGGATGAAGTGTTTCCATCCCGGATGGGAAGCGTTCCTCCCTTCCGGTATGAGAGTGTTACCCTCCTGGGATGAAGCGTACCTCCAGGATGAGAGTGTTTACCTCCAGGCCTTGATGAGATGCAGTCAGCGATCATGCAGATATGAGCCATCTCTTTCAGTGAATGGTCAGGGTCCTTTCTCAACACACTCACCATGAAGAGAGGAGGATGGGGAGAGAGGCCTTATTAAGGCCAGAGGAACCTAATCTGTATCACTTAACAACTCAAGTAATTTATACGTAATCATTGCTTCTGACTAATTCAGGTTCATCCCATAAATTAGGGTAAAAGAAGAAAAGTAAACGAGTCCACACCTCAAGTTCACCAGTAAACCGGGGTGAGATCTGGCCACAGTAGAACCCTGAGGATGACGATCTGTGGCCTACCAGTAAACCCCTGAGGGTGATAGCTGGCCTACCAGTAGAACCCTGAGGGTGATATCTGTCCTACCCCGATAGAACCCTGAGGGTGAAGCTGGCCCACCATAGATCCCTGAGGTGAAGGTCCTGGCCCATCATTAGACCTGAGGGGGACGGTCTGGCCCACCAGTAGAACCCTGATGGTGACTGGTCTGGCCCACCCAGTAGAACCCTGAGGGTTACGGTCTGGCCCCAGTAGAACCCTGAGGGGACGTCTGGCCCCAGCATTAGACCCCTGAGGTGAAGGTCTGGCCCGCAGTAGAACCCTGAGGGTGACGGTCTGGCCCACCATCGAACCCTGAGGTGACGGTCTGGGCCAGCAGTAGAACCCTGATTTTGAGGAAGGTCTGTCGCGCATCATTAGAACCTGAGGGTGACGGTCTGTCCCAGGCAGTAGAAACCATCGAGGGTGACGGTCTGTCCTGGCCCAGCATTAGAACCATGAGGGGATGACGGTCTGGCCCAGTCCGTAGAACCCTGAGGGTGACGGTCTGGCCTACCGTAGAACCGGAGGGTGACCGTCTGGCCCGCAGTAGCACCCTGAGGTGAATGTCTGGCCCAGCAGTAGAACCCTGAGGGTGAACGGTCTGGCCCACCAGTAGAACCCTGAGGGGAATGTCTGGCCCAGCCTAGAACCCGCGGTGACGGTCTGGCCAGCAGTAGAACCCTGAGGGTGACGGTCTGGCCCAGCATAAACCCGGGGTGACGGTCTGGCCTACAAGTAACCCTGAGGGTGAGTCTGGCCTACCAGTAAACCCTGTGGTGACAGTCTGGCCAGCAGTTATACGGTGGATGTTAGTTGGTTGTGAATGTTGTGGTACCTCAGACTGCAGGCAACAACAGGACAGGACAATGAAAAACACACAAACCCACAGACACCGAGAGGCGAGGTGAGAGAAGGTGGGGAAGAGAGCATGCAGACCAGCAATGTCATAAATAATAAATTAATTAAGTGGTTTCCAGAGACGCTTGCCTAGCAACAGATACCATGTGGAGTCTGTGGGTTTGAGGTCCTGTCATTTCCATGAGAGGGTAGGTTCACGATCGACACAGGAAAGCCAGAGGTGTTGGTGGTTTCTCACTTACCTAGGTGAGAGGTTGAACATGTTTATGACAGGTTTAAGTGGAACAGAGAGGACACGGCCGCCACACACAATTACCACACAACTTACACACACACACACCACCACACAAACAACACACACAGGGGGAAAGTCCATACTGTCATCTATGGTCATTTGGGTTGTGTTGCGCCTGAATTTAAAATAGATTGAATTTGTGTCACTGGCCTACTCCCCATAACCTAAACCCATAATGTCCAAGTGGAATTTTGTTTGTTCGAATTGTAGCACCTGTGAAAATTAAGACAAATGTAGCGCGATATGTCTTGAATCATGATATTCAAACCCTTTGTCATTCCAGCCTAAATTGTCAGGCTAAAAATGTTGGGCTTACAAACAAATCGCATAATGATTTGGCATTGATCATCTGGTTCATAAAGTGTTAACATATTTTGAATACTACCACGATCTATATTGGAGTTTGCTTACCAATATGACACTGGAATGTTCCTGAGTGGGCCCGAGTTTACAGTTTTAACTTAAATCAGCTTGAAATCTAGGCAAGACTTGAAAATGGCTGTCTTGCAATGATCCACAATCAAGTTGACACAGCTTAAGATTCTTTAAGACAAAATTGGCCAATAATAGCACATCCAGGTGTGCAAAGTCTGAGAAGACTTACCACCAAAGAATGACAGCTGTAATGGCCACCAAGTGCGTCTTACAAAGTTTGACTCAGGGGTGGAATACTTATTTCTGTATTTCATTTTCAATAAATGTTGCAACATTTCTAAAACATAGTTTTCACTGTGTCATTGTCCTTATGGGTAAGTGTGCAATGGGGACAACAAATAAGACTAATCAATTTTGAATTCAGGCTTTAACAGCAAAACACAAACCCCCTGGTTTACAGTCTAATGAGTCTCCCCTGGATTTGCAGTCTAATGAATCTACCCTCGACATACAGTCTAATTAAGTATCCCCTGGATTTGCAGTCTAATGAAGTCTACCCTTGGTGCAGTCCTAATGAGTCAATAGTACTAACCCCCCTGATGTAAGTCGAATGAAGATACCAGTCGATGTACATTCTAATGATGGATACACCCCTATATTTACGCTAATGATGTAATACCCCTATATTTACATTCCTATGATGTATACCCCTATATTTACAGTCTAAAATGATGTAGACCCCTGGATTTTACAGTCTAATGAGTCTATCCCTTGATTTAAATCTAATTAAGTTTCCCCTGGATTTCAGTCCGAAGAAGTTACAACGGATTACAGTCTACATGAAGTCTACCCTGAATTTACGTGTAATTGTCACTATCGTCTGAAGACGTACCATTACCACGCGGGAGTGAACATGATGACTTTATTTAATAAAGCAACCACGAAAACAACAAATGACTATAGTGAAGTCCTCTGTAACACTGACATAACTTGGAACAAAAACCCACAAACCCATGAGAACACCACACAGTTTAATATGGCTCCCATCAGATAGATAACTGTAGTCCGATCAGCTGACAACTCGTTACCTCCGTTGGGCGTCATATGACTATCAAGAACCAATCACCAAACATAGAAATGAAGCAACTAGAAATACCTCAACTAGAAATACACCCAAGACATGAAAAAAAATGACACCCTAGGCTCAATATCAAAGTCCATGGAGCCAGAGTGTCACAGTACCCCCCCCCTAAAGGTGCGCACTCCGGCGCACCAGCATACAGTCTAGGGGAGGGTCTGGGGGGCGTCTGTCCATGGTGGCGTCGCCGGCCCAGGTCGTGGTCCCACCCCTTTTAGTCACTATCCGCTTCTACCCCCATCCACCTTCCACCCCCCAATTAAAAACCCCCTGGATTAAGGCGGCACGACTAAGGGGCAGCACCGGACAAGTGGCAGCACCGACTAAGGGACAGTACCTGACTAAGGGGCGATCACCAGTACTTGAATGGCGGATCCTTGCTGGTCGGGCTCCTGGCGGATCCTGGCTGTACTGGCTTCTGGCGGATCCTGGTCTGACGGCTCTGCGGATCCTGGGCTGGCGGAAGGCTCGCTGTCGCCTGTCAGTGGCGGACGGCTCCTGGCTGATCCTGTCTGGCGGAAGCTCTGGCTGATCCTGTCTGGCGGAAGCTTCTGGCTGATTCTGTCTGGCGAAGGCTCTGGCTGGTCCTGTCTGGCGGAAGTCCTCTGCTGATCCCTGTCTGGCGGAAGGCGCTGGCTGATCTTCATGGCGGAAGGCGCTGGCTGATCCTGTCTGGCGGAAGGCTCTGCTGCTTCCTGTCTGGCGGAATGCTCTGCTGATCCTGTCTGGCGGAATGCTCTGGCGGCTCCTGTCTGGCGGAGAGCTCTAGGTCTCTAGCGGCTCCGGTCTGGCGGACGGCTCTGAAGGCTCATGGCAGACGGGCGGCTTGCAGGCTCAGTACAGACGGGGCAGTTCCTCTGCGTCCTTGGCCGACAGTTCAGACTGCGTTTGGGGGCAAGACGGCAGTTTCAGCGGCGTTGGGGCAGACGTAAATTCAGGCCCCGTTGGGCCTACGGCCGTTCCGACGGCTGGGACGGACCAGTTCAGACCCGTTGGGCAGACGCAGACTCTGGCCGTCCTGAGGCGCATCGTAGCCTTGTGCGTGGTGCCGGAACGAGTACCGGTCTGAGGACACGCATCTCGGGCTATTGCGGGGAGAAGCACAGGGCATGGCTGACCATCTTGTGACGCACCGTATGGCCATGCGTGGTGCCGGAACTGAGGTACCGGCTGAGGACCCGCATCTCATGGCTATGCGGGGAGAGCACGGGCATCTGGACCCCTGGGAACGCACAGAAGGGCTAGTGCGGAGAGCCGGAACAGGGCCTGCTGACCCTGGGACTCACATTAAGCCTATTGGCGGAGAGCAGCAACAGGGCGCCAGGACTCGGAGAACGCACAGACGGCTTTGGTGGCGTGGTGTCGGCACTGGTGGAAAGGGCTGGCGACGCGCCACGCGTATCCCTGTTGCGAGTGGCCGGAAACAGGCCGGAGCGCGGGCGGCGAAGCGCACCGTATCCCTGTTGCAGTGGCCGGGAACAGGCCGGGCTGGGCTGGCGAATCGAGCGCACCGTATCCCTGGTGCGAGTGGCCGAACAGTGCCGGCTGTTCTGCGAAGCGCACCGTATCCCTGGTGCGAGTGGCCGGAACAGGCCGGGCTGGGCTTGCGAAGCGCCTGCGTTCCCTGTCGAGTGCCGGAACAGGCCGGGCCGGGCCTGGCGAAGCGCATCCGTACCCCTGGTGCGAGTGGCCGAACAGCGCGGTCCGGGCTGGCGAAGCGCACCTGTATCCTTTGTGCGAGAGGGTCGTAAACAGGAACCATTCCTGAGAAACCGTACTGGAGTTCACACAAAACCAGAACACCAATTCACTACCACTGGCTCTACTCCCGGTAACTGGAACTGGTGGCCGCCCGTCCTGGTATACACACCTCAGTATCTCACGCCGTGCCTCACATCTCCTTCCCTACTTTTGCCAGTTGACCCCCGTTAACCTGGTTGCCTCTTTTTTTGGGAAAAAAAAAAAACAACATTTTTTTCGCCCTCTTCTCCTCCCCGTTTAGCGCCCGCGTCCAACCATGTGCCCCCCCACAAAACTTTTTGGGGTTGCCTCTCGTCCTTCAACGATGATGGCCCTGCTGGACTGGCCGTTTGCTCCTCTCGCCGTCGTCCTCACCGTTTCGCTCCATGACGCGATCCATCCCATCCAGGATCTCCTCCCACGTCCAGGACCCCTTTCCGTCCAAAATCTCCTCCCATGTTCCAGGAAGCCTTTGGAGCTGGTCCCTGTTGCCCCGCTTGGAACAACCTGCTTGTCCTTTGCTGGTGGGTTTTTTCTGTCACGATCGTCTGAAGAAGCGGACCAATACGCAGCGCGTGTGTCAACATATGACTTTAGTTTATTAAAGCACCACGAACAACAAATGACGATATGAAGTCCTCTTTAACACTGCAGAAACATGAACAAAAAACCACAACCAATGAAACCACACAGTTTTAAATATGGCCTCCCATCAAGATAACGATCCGACACTTGACACTTCGTTACCTCCGATTGGAGTCATATGACTAATAACAAGACAATCACCAACATGAAATGACACAACTAAACTACCCCAACATAGAAATACACCCAACCCTGAAATGACACCCTGCTCAATAATCAAAGTCCTGGGCCAGATTGGTCACGTAATGAGCTTACCCCTGGATTCAAAGTTGATGAAGTCCTACATTTTACCCGGGATTAAATCTAATAAAGTATACCCCTGGATTTACAGCCTATGAAGTCTACTACAGTATACCCCTGGATTTACAGTCGATGACGTTCTCCCTGGATTTAAAGTGGTAATGAAGTCTTCCCTCGGAAACAGGCCTATTACGTCTACCCCTGGATTTAAAGTCGACTGATGTATCCCTATATTTACCGTCGAATGATGTATATCCCCAATTTACAGTCTAATGAGTTACCCTATTTTACATCTAATGATTATCCCCTTATTACAGTCTAATGCTTTATCCCCTATATTACGGCAATGATGTTATACCCCTATCTTTACAGTCTAATGATGTATACCCCTATATTTACAGTCTAATGATGTATACCCCTATATTTACAACAGTCTTGATGTATCCCCCATATTACAGTCTAATGATTATACCCTATATTTTACAGTCTCATGATGTATACCCCTATATTTTACGTCTCATGAAGTCGACTCTGGAGTTACCCGAGGGTAAAGGTCTGGCCACAGAAACCCGAGGGGACGGCTGGCCAATAGAACCCTGAGGGTGACGGTCTGGCCCAGCAGTAGAACCCTCTGAGGGTGACGTGGCCCAGCTAAACCATGAGGTGCGGTTGGCCCACTAGCCAGGGTAAGAGAACCCTGAGGGTGACGTCTGCCTACGTACCAGAGTACCGTCTGGCCCGGCATAGAACCCTGAGGGTGATGTTGGCCCAGCATAGAACCCTGAGGGTGACGGTCTGGCCCACCAGTAGAACCTGAGGGTGAATGTCTGCCAGCAGTAGAACCCTGAGGGTACGGTCTGGCCCAGCAGTAGAACCCTGAGGGTGACGGTCTGGCCCAGCAGTAGAACCCTGAGGGTGACGGTCTGGCCTACCAGTAGAACCCTGAGGGTGAAGGTCTGGCCTACCAGTAGAACCCTGAGGGTGACAGTCTGGCCCAGCAGTTTGATACGGTGGATGTAGTTGGTTTGAGGTTGTGGTACCTCAGACTGCAGGCCCAACAACAGGACAGGACAGGAAAACACCAACACCCACAGACACAGAGAGGAGAGGTGAGAGAAGGTGAGAAAGAGCATGCAAGACCAGCAAATGTCAATAAATAAATAAATTAATTAAGTGGTTTCCAGAGAACGCATTGCCTAGCAACAGAGACCATGTGGAGCTCTGTGGGTTTGAGGTCCTGTCTATTTCTGAGAAGGTGTAGGTTCACAGATCGACAACAGGAAAAGCACAGAGGTGGTTGGTGGTTTCTCACTTACTAGGTGAGAGGTAGACATGTATGACAGGTTTAAGTGGAACAGAAGAGGACACGCCACACACAATTACCCACACAAACTTACACACACACACACACACACACACAAACACACACACACAGGGGGAAAAGTCCATACTGTCATCTATGGTCATTTGGTTGTGTTGCGCCTGAATTTAAAATAGATTGAATTTTGTGTCACTGGCCTACTCACAATACCCCATAATGTCCAAGTGGAATTTTGTTTGTAGAATTGTAGAACATTTGAGAAATTAATAACAAATGTAGAGCTGATATGTCTTGAATCAATGAGTATTCAACCCCTTTGTCATGGCAAGCCTAAATATGTTCAGGAGTAAAAATGTGCTTAACAAATCGCATAATGAGTTGCATGGAATCATTCTGTGTTCAATAAAAGTGGTTAACATGATTTTTGAATGACTACCCTATCTATATTGGAGTTGCTTACCAAGATGACACTGAATGTTCCTGAGTGGCCGAGTTACAGTTTTAACTTAAATCAGCTTGAAAATCTATGGCAAGACTTGAAAATGGCTGTCTTGCAATGATCCACAATCAAGTTGACACAGCTTAAAGAAGTCTTTAAAGACAAAATTGGCAAATATAGCACAATCCAGGTGTGCAAAGGTCTTAGAGACTTACCACAAAAGATGCACAGCTGTAATGGCCACCAAAGGTGCTTCTACAAAGTATTGACTCAGGGGTGTGAATACTTATTTCTGTATTTCATTTTCAATAAATGTGCAAACATTTCTAAAAACATAGTTTTCACTGTGTCATTGTCATTATGGGGTACTGTGTGCAGATGGGGGACAACAAATAAGACTAATCAATTTTGAATTCAGGCTGTAGCAAAACAAAACCCCTGGATTTACAGTCTAATGAAGTCTACCCTGGATTTGCAGTCTAATGAAGTCTACCCTCGGACATACAGTCTAATTAAGTATACCCTGGATTTGCAGTCTAATGAAGTCTACCCCTGGAATTGCAGTCTAATGAAGTCAATAGTATACCCCTGGATTTACAGTCTAATGAAGAATACCAGTCGATTTACATTCTAATGATGTATACCCCTATATTTACAGTCTAATGATGTATACCCCTATATTTACAGTCTAATGATGTATACCCCTATATTTACAGTCTAATGATGTATACCCCTGGATTTACAGTCTAATGAAGTCTATCCCTGGATTTAAAGTCTAATTAAGTTTACCCCTGGATTTACAGTCTAATGAAGTCTACACCTGGATTTACAGTCTAATGAAGTCTACCCCTGAATTTACAGTGTAATTGTCACGATCGTCTGAAGAAGCGGACCAATACGCAGCGCGTGGAGTGAACATGATGACTTTATTTAATAAAGCAACCACGAAAAACAACAAATGACGATAGTGAAGTCCTCTGTAACACTGACAGAAACATGGAACAAAAACCCACAAACCAAGGAGAAACCACACAGTTTAAATATGGCTCCCAATCAGAGATAACGAGCCGACAGCTGACACTCGTTACCTCCGATTGGGAGTCATATGACTAATCAAGACCAATCACCAAACATAGAAATGAACAACTAGAAATACCCAACATAGAAATACACCCAAACAATGAAAATGAACAACCCTGGCTCAAATAATCAAAGTCCATGGAGCCAGAGTGTCACAGTACCCCCCCCTAAAGGTGCGCACTCCGGGCGCACCAGCATACAGTCTAGGGGAGGGTCTGGGTGGGCGTCTGTCCATGGTGGCGGCTCTGGCCCAGGTCGTGGTCCCCACCCCACTTTAGTCACTATCCGCTTCCGTAGCCCCCTCCACCTGACCACCCCCCAATTAAACCCCACTGGATTAAGGGGCGGCACCGGACTAAGGGGCAGCACCGGACTAAGGGGCAGCACCGGACTAAGGGACAGTACCTGACTAAGGGGCAGCACCCGGACTGAATGGCGGATCCTGGCTGGCTGGCTCTGGCGGATCCTGGCTGGACGGCTCTGGCGGATCCTGGCTGGACGGCTCTGGCGGATCCTGGCTGGCGGAAGGCTCTGGCTGATCCTGTCTGGCGGACGGCTCTGGCTGATCCTGTCTGGCGGAAGGCTCTGGCTGATCCTGTCTGGCGGAAGGCTCTGGCTGATCCTGTCTGGCGGAAGGCTCTGGCTGATCCTGTCTGGCGGAAGGCTCTGGCTGATCCTGTCTGGCGGAAGGCTCTGGCTGATCCTGTCTGGCGGAAGGCTCTGGCTGATCCTGTCTGGCGGAAGGCTCTGGCTGCTCCTGTCTGGCGGAAGGCTCTGGCTGATCCTGTCTGGCGGAAGGCTCTGGCTGCTCCTGTCTGGCGGAGAGCTCTAGCGGCTCCGGTCTGGCGGACGGCTCTGAAGGCTCATGGCAGACGGGCGGCTTTGCAGGCTCAGTACAGACGGGCAGTTCCTGCGGCGCTTGGCAGACGGACAGTTCAGACGGCGTTGGGCAGACGGGCAGTTCAGACGGCGTTGGGCAGACGGACAGTTTCAGGCCCCGTTGGGCAGACGGGCAGTTCAGACGGCGTTGGGCAGACGGACAGTTCAGACCCCGTTGGGCAGACGGCAGACTCTGGCCGTCTGAGGCGCATCGTAGGCCTGGTGCGTGGTGCCGGAACTGGAGGTACCGGGCTGAGGACACGCATCTCAGGGCTAGTGCGGGGAGAAGCAACAGGGCATGCTGGACCCTGGGGACGCACCGTAGGCCTGATGCGTGGTGCCGGAACTGGAGGTACCGGGCTGAGGACACGCATCTCAGGGCTAGTGCGGGGAGAAGCAACAGGGCATGCTGGACCCTGGGAACGCACATAAGGGCTAGTGCGGAGAGCCGGAACAGGGCATGCTGGACCCTGGGGACTCACATTAAGCCTAGTGCGGAGAGCAGCAACAGGACGCACAGGACTCGGGAGACACACAGGAGGCTTGGGGCGTGGTGTAGGCACTGGTGGGAAAGGGCTGGCGACGCGCACCGTATCCCTGGTGCGAGTGGCCGGAACAGGCCGGGCCGGGCTGGCGAAGCGCACCGTATCCCTGGTGCGAGTGGCCGGAACAGGCCGGGCTGGGCTGGCGAAGCGCACCGTATCCCTGGTGCGAGTGGCCGGAACAGGCCGGGCTGGGCTGGCGAAGCGCACCGTATCCCTGGTGCGAGTGGCCGGAACAGGCCGGGCTGGGCTGGCGAAGCGCACCGTATCCCTGGTGCGAGTGGCCGGAACAGGCCGGGCCGGGCTGGCGAAGCGCACCGTATCCCTGGTGCGAGTGGCCGGAACAGGCCGGGCCGGGCTGGCGAAGCGCACCGTATCCTTGGTGCGAGGGGTCGTAACAGGCCGGACCGTACTGGAGGCACACACCACTGGCTCTACCCCGGGAACTGGAACGGGCCGGACCGGACTGGATACACACCTCAGTCTCTCACGCCGTGCCTCTACATCTCCTTTCCCTACTTTGGCCAGTGACCCCCGTAACCTGGTTGCCTCTTGAATTCGCCCCTTCTCTGCCTCCGTTAGCCCCGTCGTCCAAGCCATGTGCCCCCCCCCAAAAACTTTTTGGGGTTGCCTCTCGTCCTTCCAACGATGATGGCCCTGCTGACGCCGTTGCTCCTCTCGCCGTCGTCTCTCCACCGTTTCGCTCCATGGACGGCGATCCATCCCATCCAGGATCTCCTCCCAAGTCCAGGACCCCTTTCCGTCCAAAATCTCCTCCCATGTCCAGGAAGCCTTTGGAGCTGGGTCCTGTTGCCGCTTGACACGCTGCTTGGTCCTTTGATGGTGGGTTTTTCTGTCACGATCGTCTGAAGAAGCGGACCAATACGCAGCGCGTGGAGTGAACATGATGACTTTATTTAATAAAGCAACCACGAAAAACAACAAATGACGATAGTGAAGTCCTCTGTAACACTGACAGAAACATGGAACAAAAACCCACAAACCAAGGAGAAACCACACAGTTTAAATATGGCTCCCAATCAGAGATAACGAGCCGACAGCTGACACTCGTTACCTCCGATTGGGAGTCATATGACTAATCAAGACCAATCACCAAACATAGAAATGAACAACTAGAAATACCCAACATAGAAATACACCCAAACAATGAAAATGAACAACCCTGGCTCAAATAATCAAAGTCCATGGAGCCAGAGTGTCACAGTAATGAGCTATACCCCTGGATTCAAAGTTGAATGAAGTCTACAGTTTACCCCTGGATTTAAAGTCTAATAAAGTATACCCCTGGATTTACAGCCTAATGAAGTCTACAGTATACCCCTGGATTTACAGTCTAATGAAGTCTACCCTGGATTTAAAGTGTAATGAAGTCTTCCCTCGGACATACAGTCTAATGACGTCTACCCCTGGATTTAAAGTCTAATGATGTATACCCCTATATTTACAGTCTAATGATGTATACCCCTATATTTACAGTCTAATGATGTATACCCCTATATTTACAGTCTAATGATGTATACCCCTATATTTACAGTCTAATGATGTATACCCCTATATTTACAGTCTAATGATGTATACCCCTATATTTACAGTCTAATGATGTATACCCCTATATTTACAGTCTAATGATGTATACCCCTATATTTACAGTCTAATGATGTATACCCCTATATTTACAGTCTAATGATGTATACCCCTATATTTACAGTCTAATGATGTATACCCCTATATTTACAGTCTAATGAAGTCTACTCCTGGATGTACAGTGTAATGAGCTATACCCCTGGATTCAAAGTTTAATGAAGTCTACAGTTTACCCCTGGATTTGAAGTCTAATGAAGTACCAATGCATTTACATTCTAATGAAGTCAACAGTATACCCCTGGATTTTCAGTCCAATGAATTATACCCCTGGATTTAGAGCCTAATGAAGAATACCAGTCGATTTACAGTCTAATGACGTATACCCCTGGATTTTCTGTCTAATTTAATATACATCTATATTTACAGTCTAATTAATTATACCCCTGGATTTACAGTCTAATGAAGAATACCCTTGGATTTAGTCTGATGAAGTCTACCCCTAGATTTAAAAGTCTGATGAAGTAATCCCCTGGATGTACAGTCAAATGTAGTATACGCCTGGATTTACAGTCTAATGAAGTATTCCCCTGGATTTACAGTCTAATGAAGTATACCCCTGGATTGACAGTGTATTTGTATTTATTATGCATTCCCATTAGCTGCTGCCAAGGCAGCAGCAACTCTTCCTGGGATCCAACAAAATTAAGGGAGTTTACAATTTTTAAACATTAAAATACATTCACAGCAGATTTCACAACATATTAAGTGTGTGACCTCAGGCCCCTACTCCACTACCACATATCTACAACACAAAATCCACGTGTAAGTGTGTTAACAGTGCGTATGTTGTCGTGTGTTTGTATGCATGTGTCTGTGCCTATGTTTGTGTTGCTTCACAGTCCCCGCTGTTCAATAAGGTTTATATGTATCTGTTTTTTAAATTGTATTTTACTGCTGGCATGAGTTACTTGATGTGGAATAGAGTTCCATGTAGTCATGGCTCTATGTAGTACTGTGCGCCTCCCATAGTCTGTTCAGGACTTGGGGACTGTGAAGAGACCACTGGTATATTGTGGGGTATGCATGGGTGTCCGAGCTGTATGCAAGTAGTTCAAACAGACAGCTCGGTGCATTCAACATGTCATGGTCTCCCGAGTGGCGCAGTGGTCTAAGGCACTAATGAAGTATAGCTGTGCCACTAGAGATCCTGGTTCAAATCCACAGAGATTTGGCTTTAGAAAAACGTTAATTTAATTGTAGTAAAAACAGTAATTTATCAACAGAACCAGAGAATGTGGGACATGCCAGTACTGTACAGCTTCACCAATCTGAATAACTGTTTTAAAATTGAAAGAAAATAAAATCTGATTAGAGACATTTTCTTTGATTCCTGTTCTATGAAACATACAATATGCAATGTGCATCATTAAGCAGACATGTACAGGTAACTGCCAAAATAAAGGAATCACCAACATAACGTGTCTTAATTTGTATCCCTCATTTACTCAAGTGTTTCCACTGTTTTGGCAGTTAGCTGTATATTCGTACACAACATGTTATGCATTTATGATATATCTACTTATGCATGCTTGACGTTTATTTTTAAAAAAGCTATCCCTTAATCACCTGTTCAATCCAGGACTTGAAGAAGGAAATGTTCATGTACACACGGGGTAACTTACGATCATCACATTTCAGTGAATTACCAAAAAAAGCAACAATACCCTGTGCCACGTTCTTGTTCTTGCAAATAACAGGTCCACCTGAATCTCCCTGGCAAGAAAAGCACATAAAAACAACATTAGTAAGTACGTACTGCTGGAACATGAAATGGAGAACTAACACCACTACTTGTCAAATTATTTGATTCAAAATGTACATTATTTACCTGACAAAAGCCTTTCTGTCCATCATCAGTGCATATCATTTGGCTACTTATAAAGTATTCCCTCAACTTATTTAGGCATTCAAAGTTGAACTGCATCGTGACTTCAACTTCCATCAAAACGTTCGCAGCACGAGATGTTTTATCTGGTTCAGTCTTTCCCCAGCCAGCGACAGAGCACGTGGTTCTGGCTGGGATATGTTTAACCTTAGTGGGGAGTCCAATGACCTTCACATACTCGTTCAGAACAGCGTTGGTCTGTAACTGTAAAATAGAAACAATCTATGAATTAGATTATAATGAACCACTTAAAAACAGGTAGTAGTTGTGGATGGAGTGAGGGTAAGGTCCATGTAAATCTCATATCTAGAAAATTCACTTGACAAAGACCCAATAGTGACTCACTTGACAAAGAGAAGGGAAATGAAATATGTCTGAGACATACCTTCAGTAGCATGATGTCGTAACTGTACTGAGTTATATTCTGATGTAAGGGGTGGCGATGGTACAGTGACACTTGAATCTCTTGCCGACTCTTCTTCTCTTCTTTGGTTAGGTTGTGAGCGCCAAGGACCACCGTTAAAGGAAATGCACTAGAAACAAATCAAAGAGTCACGTTAAACAACAAGTCGGTCAACATTGAGTTATTACTCAAAGATGCCCCTCAAGAGACATGTAACATGATGCAACAAAATGCATTAATATTCATTGTTGACTCACTCTCTTAAGCAGTGTGCTGAAGTCAGGACAAAGTCCTTCCGGATGAGCATTCCTCCACAAACATGGTCTCCTTTGTGCTGCAGAGAGACCATATAGGGCCTGGAGTGAGGCTTAGCTACCTTACCCCCCACAATGCCACTCTCAGAGGCCCCTTGGAAGGAGGAGAAATAAGGATGTTTACTGGAACACTTGTAGGTCAGGACACATAGCTGATAATAAGCAGTAATTGATATGAAATTATTTCACTTATAAGTCTGTCTTATCATCTGTTCTCTCTCATATTGTTAAGCAAACTAAGGACCAAATAAAAAGGCAATAATTGCACATCGTGTTGAATAACCAGCTATACCTTCTTTACTAGCTGGTTCTTTGTAGAGAATAATCAGCTATACCTTCTTTACTAGCTGGTTCTTTGTAGATAATAATCAGCTATACCTTCTTTACTACCTGGTTCTTTGTAGATAATAATCAGCTATACCTTCTTTACTAGCTGGTTCTTTGTAGAGAATAATCAGCTATACCTTCTTTACTAGCTGGTTCTTTGTAGATAATAATCAGCTATACCTTCTTTACTAGCTGGTTCTTTGTAGATAATAATCAGCTGTACCTTCTTTACTAGCTGGTTCTTTGTAGATAATAATCAGCTGTACCTTCTTTACTAGCTGGTTCTTTGTAGAGAATAATCAGCTATACCTTCTTTACTACCTGGTTCTTTGTAGATAATAATCAGCTGTACCTTCTTTACTAGCTGGTTCTTTGTAGATATATTATGTACAGAATAGATGAACTCACCAGCAGAGGAAAGGAGTTGGAGGAGGATGAGGAGGTGCAGGTACATGGTGGTGGACTGGCAGAGATCTAGATGTTGAGAGACTGCAGGCTTCTCCTCTCTATATAAACCACCTTTACAACCCCCCCCCCCCCCCCCCATAACCCCACACACACAGCAAGAGGGGGCTGGTGGTCTAGCAGTTTATTCATACTGAAAGTGAAAGCTGAGGTGAGGTGGAAATATCACACATTTTAAGTTGGTTGTAAGTGGTCTCAGATGATTCATACCAAAAAGCACCTTTTTAAATTAAGTACACCATCTGAATGTCTCTTTTGAATGTAATTCATGTCCCTAACCTGTCACCATCTGAATATCTGCTCAGATATCCTCTTGTTATTTCCATTCATGTCCTAAACTGAATGGGCAAGACAAAATATTTAAGTACCTTTGAACGGGGTATTGGTGAATCCAGGTGAATGCTATGATCCCTTGTTGATGTCACTTGTTAAATTAATTTCAATCAGTGTAGATGAAGGGGAGGAGACAGGTTAAAGAATGATTTTTAAGCCTTGAGACAATTGAGACATGGATTGTGTGTGTGTGCCATTCAGAGGGTGAATGGGCAAGACAAAAGATTTAAGTGCCTTTGAACGGGGTATGGTAGTAGGTGCCAGGCGCACCAGTTTGTGTCAAGAACTGCAACACTGCTGGGTTTTTCACGCTCAACAGTTTCTGGTGCGTGTCAAGAATGGTCCACGACCCAAAAGACATCCATCCAACATGACACAACTGTGGGAAGCATTGGAGACAACATGGGCCAGCATCCCAGTGGAATGCGCTTGACCCCTTGTAGAGTCCATACCCCGAGAAATTGAGGCTGTTCTGAGGGCAAAAAGGTGGTGGGGGTTGGACGGGAGGGAGTGCAACTTAATATAATGAAGGTGTTCCTAATGTTTGGTATACTCAGTGTAAGTCGACACTCCAGCCAAATAAACGTATATTATCATAACTGCCCCAGGGGAATAGATGCAGCTGCTCCCTTAGGCCAGAGGAGGTTTCACTGTCCAAGTCCCAGTTAAAGTATAACCTGCTCCATATAGTTTCAAACCCTTTCTGTAGGGGTCCTTGTTCCCAGTTTAACCAGTATTTGTAGTAGAGGTGGTCCACATGGAACCCCGTTCTCTGCTGAGGAGTAGATCAACAGTACAGTAGGTCAACAGTACAGTACAGCATAGTACAGTAGGTCTACAGTACACTATGTCAACAGCAGTGTTGTAGTACTCGAGACCAGTCACTAAACAATACATTAATTGTACTATAACGGTGACAAACGGTGCCCACAAACTGATAGGGCCTACATAAAGCTGTCCCAACAGCTTTCTTATCAGCACCATGGAATGAATCCTTACCACCGCTACACCTGGCTATCAGCGGAGCCTTGACTGGCAGCGAAACAGTTCATTCAGCCTCATTTACTGCCTTTAAAAAAAAAACATAGCTGATATATGGCTGACTTGCTTAAACAGATGAGGTTATTATTTCTCTTCACATGACAACGATTGAAAAGGATTTGTCCGTAGATTGTCGTTTTGATTCGTGATGATGACTGCTTGTCTATCTTTGCTAGCTAAGATTTTGAAAGTATGATGTTGACATGATCAGTCCAATCAAAGCTACGGTAGATATAACGTGATTTGACGTAATTTTATCTGTGGCCAATGACCTTGAGCCTTCTTGGATTGGCACTTCTAATGTAAATCAATGGCAGCACCCAAGGGGGCTTGATCTTTCTAGCTCTCCCTGTAGATTCTGCGGTGACGTAGTGTCCCCATGAGTGACAGAACACTGAGCCAATCACAGCGCAAATAGAGAAGATTACCAACCCCTACGCGCTGTATTTTCCGCTGGCTGCCCCACCACCACAGAAAGCACTGAGCTGGCTGCCCCTCCACCACAGAAAGCACTGAGCTGGCTGCCCCTCCACCACAGAAAGCACTGAGCTGGCTGCCCCTCCACCACAGAAAGCACTGAGCTGGCTGCCCCTCCACCACAGAAAGCACTGAGCTGGCTGCCCCTCCACCACAGAAAGCACTGAGCTAGGCTTTAAAAAACCTGCATTTTGGAGCTGCTTTACTCATGAAAGCAAAAAAGGGACCATGTTTGTATGCAGCTTTATTTTTAAATTGTTTGCAAACTGATATGTGACACGTATTAATGCCAAAATAACATGCAGAACATGCCCTGAATGACGGGTCGTCACTTGTGGTGGGATCTGCTACAAAAAAATCTGTTCATAAAATATGGTATAGAAACGTTGACGTCACTATCCGTCAGTGGGACTCATGGTGAAACACTTCACAACAACTGTATGTTGATATAAAGCAACTGTTGTCAAAAGCAGGAACATGTGTTCAGCCAACGTGGCTAGCTAGCTATAACATTTACATTTTAGTCATTTAGCAGACGCTCTTATCCAGAGCGACTTACAGTTTAATGAGTGCATACATTATTTTTTTATTTTTTTATACTGGCCCCCCGTGGGAATCGAACCCACAACCCTGGCGTTGCAAACACCATTCTCTACCAACTGAGCTACATCCCTGCCGGCCATTCCCTCCCCTACCCTGGACGACGCTGGGCCAATTGTGCACCGCCCCATGGGTCTCCCGGTCGCAGCCGGCTACGATAAGTCATAGGCATACAGTCAAACATATCCGAATGAGAGATGAACCGACTGATGCAGAACCTGTGTGGTTAGCCAACGTTATGTAGCAAACGATAACGTTAGCTAATACTCGTGAATGGAAACAGAAAAAATAGGAGTCAAACTGGATAGCTAACAACTAACTGCTAGCTAGTTAAGCTTACAGCTACTGAGTTAGCTACCTCATGGGTTACCTCAGCAAAGTTGATCTTTGTGAAAATAAATTAGCCGGTAGCTTGCTAGCTAGCTTTAACTACAACACATGTATGAACTACAGAGAATCCAACACTCACTCAATTACATTTGCTCTCTTGTAACAACTTGAAAGCGTGTGGATGATCTGCTTCGTACTTTTCTCAACATTTTTTTTTTTAGGAAACTCCGGAAAAGAAAGCCAGGAAAAACTGAATCACTTTCTCTATTCCGATTGGCTGACATGTCATGCTTTACTTCAACAGCCAATGAACGGCACACTTCTTCGATTGACTTTCACATTTTTAAGCGTTGTGGTAAATGTTGTCCGTTGCAGTGCATAGTAGATTTGTGCCACCACAGAGGGATAGGGCAATGAGTGAGTTATGCTTCAGTGAGTATGTTTACATGAACAGTAATAATTCAATATTAAACTGATTATGGCAGTAGGCAGGTTATGCAATAGTGATTTAAACACCTTACTGTGCTTATCTTAAGGTCAGAATCGAAGTAAGCATAAAACACCTGGTTTTCTGAGCAATCTTTCAAAGTATTATGACATGTAAACACCTTAATCAGTGTTCCAGCTGTGTATTTGATCAGCACCAGCCCAGCGAGCCTCCCTCTTTAGCGCGAGTGAAGTGACTTCGGAAACAACTGAATGTATGCGTCTTAGAAGTAGTTTTCACAAGCAAACATTATATGTCCGAACTCACAGAATCAAATATGTTTACTAAAAAAATAACATGGTTGCTGTGGTAGAATGTTTGTTTTTGATTTGGCGATTTTCTGCATTTATCAGAGTGCCATCAGGTAACCTGATTTCAGATGTGTCCATGTAAACGGGATTATTATTAGGGAAATCTTTATTGTTGTAAAGCGTGTAAACATTTTCATCAAACTATTTTATTAATTTGATTATCCACAATAATCGCATTATTGTGTGCATGTAACCGTACTCAGTAAGGTTTGCTTCTTAGAGTTCATGCAATGGTTATCAATGTAAATCACAGAGAATAGATGTTGTGGTGGCAGCTGCAGAGAAGTATTTGGGTATACGAGATTTGACTTCAGAAGAGTTACAGGGTGTGTTGAGGGGCGGTGTCCCGTCCTCTCAGGCCATTGGCATGGTGCAGGAGCAGATAGGGTCAAAGTAGTGGAATGGGGTAGTGGATTTTTAATGAGTGTAGGTGGCAGCTGAAGAGAAGTACGATATTTTACAGCAGAAGAGTTAGTTGGATGGTGATTTTTGTTGAATGAAAAAGTGGTATATAGGTGTAGGGTTAGTTGGTAGTGCAAGCTTTTCCTTTTAGGAACAGGAATAATTAAGATATTTTAATGTAGGTACAGTAGGCCGTGACCTCACAATTTATTACAGTAGGTGGCGGTGTATGCACCTTTTAAATTGGATGCTATCTGCCAACCCAATCCCTAAGAAGAAGACGGTTGTCCTGGTATGAAACAGTTCTCTTAAACCAATCAAAGAACAGAACATGATATATATATAGCGCTGTTAAATTCATCAATGGATTTTTGAAGTATAGCATATGGATCAGCAGCTCAGACATCTTTATAAAAGCTAGATGTTATCCAGGCCCAAGCCCTAAGAATACGTTGTGGAGCGCTCAGGACCTCCCCGGTGGCAGCGATGCAGGTAGAGTTGGGAGAGATGTCGTTGAAGAGGTCAACAGCTAGCCGTGACATATTGGGTAAATCTACAAGGACACAGGGTTACACATCCTACAAAAAAACAGGTGCTCCTAGAGTGCTGGGAACATACAAGCTTTGGGTGGATAGGCAACGGCATGGCTATAGAGACGGGGTTGTTTTGGGAGGGAGTTTAGCCTCTCCGTGGTTCTTCCTGCTATCCCATCTTGGGTTCTCCCCTCAGCCAGTGATAGATCTAGGGTTGCTTGAGAGGGTAAGAGATGTTGAGGAAGGAGTAGATTCAGTTGTAAGTGAACATTTAAGAAAACAATATTATGCTTTCTTGGATATATTCACAGATGGATCTAAGGACCCTAAAACAGGGAGGACAGGAGCAGCTTTTAGTGTTCCTGAGTTTAAGGTGGAAGTGACGAAAAGAGCAACGGATCATTTATCTGTTTACACAATGGAGTTGCTGACCGTACTATTGGCTGCAGAGTGGCTGGAGGAGGTGTGGCCAGACAGGGTGGTCATCTGCTCTGACTCCTGTGCAGCACTGATGAGCTTAAATTAATTCATGTCTCGGAACAGACATGATGTATTGTATGAGGTTTTG